CAGGCTGCATGCAATCTCCCCTGTCTGGGCTCTTGGATTTCTTCAAAGAACTCTCACAGCTTGGAGAGAGATAACTTTCCTTTGCAAAAGTCACCTTTCCTTTCGTACCATATGTACCTATATAGCCATAAATTGTGTTCTTTAGAAGAGTGTCTACTAATTTGTGCTGTGCAGTTATGAGACTTAATGGTCTGGAACATTAAAACAATTATAGCACTTTAGCAACCTTCCACACTTCTGATAAACAATGCACTTTCAAGTGACAGCAGCACATCCTGGTTAGTAGCTGAGCTATTTCATCCTTGCATTCCTTTGGTGCTCTTGGGTTAAGGTTACCTGGTCCTGCCAATTTGTTACTTACTGTCTGCTTTGTTGATGTTTTCTAATCTCTTCTACAGAGATTTCAACATAAGACTGATCCTCCCTTATGTTCTGTATAAAAGTGGGTTCAGGGCAGGGATAATCCCAAGCTCCTGTACAATAAACACTGGCGTAGAGGAATTGTTTGAGTGCTCCTATTACACATGTTCTAGCCCCACAAAGAACTGAGTATTATTTCTTACGCCTTTTGCAATGTGTGACCCAACCTTTTTGAAAGATGGGCTTTCCAGTCTTAATAGGTTCTCTTCTGTCACTTAGCCATCCCAGCTATTTTCTATTTGGTTTTCTGTCATATCTCTCTGTGAAGTTGTATTCACTTGCATTGAGGCTCCAGTATGGTACCTCTGGACACTCCTCATGCCATCTGCAAAGGTTCTTCATTCTTTTACTACTTCATTCTTACTTGATTTACCTGGTTTGATATTAAGCAGAAGAGTATTGAGCTTTTCATTTTATGTTGCTCTTTGGGGGATGTGTATGCTGAGTGTAAGTATACTACGTTCTTCATAGCAACATTATGAACTGTAGCAACTGCATACTATTTAGGAACAAGCCAAGAGCTGGTTTTCCTACTAAAAGTTCCCAAATAGCTGTCTTGTGAAGTAAATATTGGTAAGGTCTCAAAACATAATGCCGGTATCTTGTCCTGAAATGACATTTACTTGAGAATGTTGTATCCTCCATTACAATTGCTCTCCTGTAGTTTCTGTGATTTCACCCTGCTCTTGTCAAAGTCTGTATCTTGCTTTAGCAGCTGATAATGCAGCCCTACACTGGTACTTTGTGAAGGTTGTTTTATTTAACACAATTAGTCTGCTAGTCTGGTTTAACTATAGCAAGAATAAAAGAAGCAGCTGGTGACTGGGGTGACCAGGAGCCTGGGGAGCCTACTCTGTAAGAGGAGCTTCCCTATTTGATCTAGGAAAATGAAGATTGGGAGGAGAAATGTGGTTATTATCTGTAGATGTGGTGGGGTTTTTTAATTAAGTTACAGTTTTGACACAAACAACAGGTAAAGTTAAACAGATAAAATATGCAGTGGCAATTAGTGAAAGTTCTTCCCCAGCTGGGATAAAACCCAATTTGTCTTAAGGTAGAATATAACAAGCTCTGAGAAAAGATCCCAAGGCATTGTACTGCAAGAGGAGGGACTGGACTGGCTGAGCAAGGGACTGGTAAACTTCTAACACCATGCACCTCTGAGCTGGATGCCATGGAAAAGGTGGAAAGAGTCTAGGGAATCTCGCAGCAATATGTACAGAAAACATCATCAGCTTTCCTGTCCTGAGGTATTCCTGTGGGGCTCGGGAGACCTCTGCTCCCCTAAATCTCCATTCCTCACCCTCCTGCCTGCATAAGTGGCTCCTTCAACTCCATCACATGTTGCAGATGTTAAGGACATGAGAATATTGCTCCTGCCAAGGCAAGGGTGGAGAGCAGGAGACCAGGCATGCCTTGGTATCCACCTAACAGTCTCCTTGTCCTCTGTGGAAGGAATGGGTGCAGTGCAGTGTGCTAGCCAGATGCTGAGCTGGAAAGTCTGCAATACAAATTGGGCAGAAAGAGCCCTTAAGTGCCCTGTGCTTCGTATCTCATTTTCCCACCACCATGCCACCTCCAGACAGTTGGAGCTTTCCTTGGCACAGCCTGCTTGGTACAGGCAGCACCCCCTGCCCACAGTTAGCTGGTACTGAGTGGGGAATGGGAAACTGTGGATCCTTGCTTACGGGCAGAGAGTGCTGGCAAGAGGGAGCTGGAGAATAAAAGGCTCAAAACGTGCTGCTGTGCTTTTTAGGCAGGGACCCATTGCTGCTCTGCATCTTTCATGAGGCTAAGGAAAACCAGCTGCTATTTCTTGATCACTGTTAATGTTTTTATACAGTTCATTACATCACCAAGCTGAAATTAAATGACCATTTTAGGGTTGTTCTTCAGTAATTACGTAATGAGTACATTAATTTATACAAGTAATCTCAGACTTGCACACTTCAGGGAATGTTTTAATGATAAAAATGGGGTAGCAATACATCACTCCAGTGTTAAAATCAGTGCTAGGTACCTTGGCACTCTCTGAACTAAGGTTACATGTGTTTTCTTTTCCTTTATTCACAGTTTCACCTGGCTTTGCAGTCAAGTCCACACTGGCCTGGTGACCCACTTCAGGGGTCAGATTGTTGCAGAGTTTGAGAAGGAATTCCGGTACTTGTATGCAGAGTCCAGAGCAGTGACCAGCTTCTGTGTGCCAGATCCTGAAACGTGCCCCTCCTCTCAGAACACCTCAAAAGTTGTGAGCTCCCTTTTAAAACCCCCACAGGTGAATGATTTTGAAACCACAAGCCCCTCCAGCAGCCTTTCCAATGTAAGCATCAGAAGCATAAAAGTGTCTCCCTTTCTGAAAAACTCCAACTGCAATGTGCAGCTGGAAAAGCAAGATTCAAGCTCAGATTCTGGTAATAATAAGGGGAAGGAAGATGCATCTCTGAAGCCCACTTGCCCTAAGCAGCAAGGAGAACCACCAGATTCACCAAATAGTCATCCAAATAAATCCACCCCTGCTTTGTATCACAAATCAAATCTCATGACAGCAAGGACATTCCTGCCACCAGAACTTTCCCCTGCCCTGACCTCCAATAAACCTTGTTATCAAGGGGACAATACAGCTAACAGCAGCCACTGCTCCCCACCAACACACGAGCAGTCCCTGCAGTCCCTTTCAGAGGGTGCCAGTAGCAATGGGACAAGCATGAAGCAGAAAGGGCTTGGTGCTGCCCCCGAGGAACCAACAGCAGACAACAACACCACATTTTATGGGCTGGAAAGAAGACAGAGTCCTGGACAAGGAAATTTGGACCTGCTCTCCCCATACAACCAGCCAAAACGAGATAAAAAGCCAGGAGTTTCTTGCTATGATAAACTCACTGAGGACATGCTGATGGAAAAGAACAGTGCATATGGGGCCGAGAAAAGAATGACTCTTGGGCACAGTAAGCTGGATCTGATCACCAAGTACAATAAGTTAAAATCAAAACACATACACAGTCGGTTCGAACTCTGACCTGGGTCTTGAGGTGTCCTTTGGTCTTATTTTCAAGTGGTTGCTTTTCCCCACCAATCATCATATCTGGAGCTTGAAATCAAAATACGGGTGGCAAATTAGTCTTGTTCATGTTCAAAGGGGTGTGTGGTGGTTTTGATTATAAGCAGATGACTGATTTAGGTGAGATTAGCAAGTACAGTTCAAATTTTCAATTACAAGATCATGGCAGGAGAGAGAAAATGGCACAAACATAATCCACGCTTCTGTGTTCTTTCTACTCATTTCAGAAAGAACCATTTCCCCCAAAACTTGCAGTAAAACCATTGCCATGGCTGGAAATGGTTTGGCTGCTGTGGTCTTCAGGGTGAACCCAGGTTCTCTTTGTACAGAGCAATTTCTTTCCCTGTATCCCTGTACTGAAAATGAGATCGCCAAAGGCAGGGGAACATTAAAAATAAAGGAGCTGTTACGTTGGAAAGAGCCGTGTTGGGTCCCTTGAGGAAGTTGAGCACCCCAAGCATGGCCAGCACCCTCTATGCTGCGCCATGCTGGGAGGATGTGGGTGGTGTGTCTGGGCACATGGCTGGCATCTGCATGTGGTCGACATTGGCACGCAAGTGCTGTCTGCATATGGATGGTGTCTGCACATGGATGGTGTCTGCTCCTGGTCATTTGTGAGCACAGGAAGCAGCTGACACAGGTTGTGCCTGGACACGGTGGCCCTTAGACTCATAGGATCATGGAATCAACTTGGGAAAGCCCTTTAAGCTCATCCAGTCCAACCATTCCCCAGCACTGCCAAGGCCACCACAAACCCATGGCACTGAGGCCTCATCTCCACAGTGTGTGAACACCTGTAAGGGATGGTGACTGCAGCCCTGCCCTGGGCAGCCTGTTCCAATGCCTGAGCACCCTTTGGTGTTCCTCATCTCCATCTAAACCTCCCCTGCTGCAGCTTGAGGCCGTTTCCTCTTGTCCCATCCCTTGTTCCTTGGGAGCAGAGCCCAGCCCCTCCTGGCTCCATCCTCCTGTCAGGCAGTTGTAGGGAGCGAATCAGTGCTGAGACACTTGGGTGTCATCTGCACGTGGGTGACAGCTGCAAGTGGGTGCTGTTGTGCACTGATGGTGTCAGCACAAAGGTGGTGCTTGGGCACAGGTCACGCGGGGGCAGGGACGGTGTGCACACGTGGGTGGTACCTGCACACGGCTGTGTCTGCACACAGGGGCTGCTGGCCCACAGTGGAGTGTCACAGAACCATTAGGGCTGGAATGCTGATCTGGAGATCACCAGGTCCAACCCCCTGCAAGGCAGAGCCATTGTGAGCAGGTCACAGAGTAAACAGGCCCAGCTCCTGCAATCCCTGCTCATCAGGGAGATGCTCCAGACCCCTGAGCATCCCTGCGGCCTCCACCGGACCCTCTCCGCCTCCCTGTGCCTGTGGTGGCACCGCCGGGCACTCCGCAGCCCGCTGGGACCTGCCATGGCCCGCGGGGACACGGCGCGGTGCGGCGGAGCCGGGGACAGACCCCCTCGCACCGGGGCCGGTAGCGGGCGCTGTGCGCGCCGCCGGCGGAAGCGGAAGTCGCGGCGCCGCGTGCGTCCGGCCCAGGGTGAGGCTCCCGTTCCCGTTCCGTTCCCGTTCCCGTTCCCGCCATGGCGGTCCGCGCCAGCTTCGAGAACAACAACGAGCTGGGCTGCTTCGCCAAGCTGACCAACGCGTACTGCCTCGTGGCCATCGGCGGCTCCGAGAACTTCTACAGGTGAGGGAGCGGCGCGGCGCGGCCGGCCCGGCTCCGCGCCCCCGCTGACGGCGCTTTCTCGTTGCAGCGTGTTCGAGGGGGAGCTGTTCGGGACCATCCCGGTGGTGCACGCCTCCATCGCCGGCTGCCGCATCATCGGCAGGATGTGTGTGGGTACGTGACGGGGCGGCCCGCGGGGCCACAGGACAGCGGCGGAATCGGGAGGACGAGCCCGGGCGGGGGGGGGTCTGCAGCGGGCCGCGCCCGTCAGCCTGAAGGGTGGAAGCTGCGGGTGCCCCGTCCCGGGCAGTGTTCCAGGCCTGCTTGGAGCAGCCTGCGCTAGTGGAAGGTGTCCCCGCCCGTGGCAGGGGTTGGAGCTGGGTGAGCTTTAAGGTCCCTTCCAGCCCAAACCAGGCTGGGATTCTGTCTTAATGGGTGGGAAGAGGAGTGAAAATGGAAAAAGAACTCTCTCGGTGACAAGGGACTTCGGGGGAAGGGGGTTCACCTCTTGGGCCTTGAAGATGGGTGAAAACTACGTGTAAGTTTTGCAGTAACCGGGAGTTCTGTTTCTCTCAAGATTAATGCTGCAGTGCCAGCGCTGGGATGGGGGGGCATTAACAGAAGGAAAAGTTGGAAAGAAGCCTTTTGTCTGTCTCCGGCGAGGAGGACCCCATTCAGTCAGACAAGCTTCCTTCTTGAGTTTTGTTTCTGTGAAAAGAACGTGTTTGTCCATCCCATCTTGCTGCTTTGCAACAGAGAAGGAATGCAGACAAGCAGCATCTGTACATTTTGGGGGGCAGTTGGCATCTATAGGGGAAATTCCTGTTAAAGTGTTTCATGGAGAACCTCAGGCTTCCTTTACTTCTGTTGAAAAAGAGCAGTGATTAAAGGTGCCATTCACCCATTTGTATGAGCTAAGTCTGTGCTTCATCCTGGTTTGCTCTTACCAGTGAAGCTGTTCTTTCTAAAGGGAAATGTTGTTTCTCTTGGGCTGCATTCTGGGCTTGGGAGGAGTGGATGGAGCAAGGGTAGTTCAAGCCATGGTGTGACTGGTGGGAAAGCAGGACCCTGGGGAACGTTCTTTTTTTCCTTTGGTTTTTTTTTTGGTGTCATTGTAGGAAACAGACATGGACTCTTGGTCCCAAGCAGCACAACAGACCAAGAGCTCCAGCACATCCGCAATAGCCTGCCAGATTCCGTACGAATCCAACGAGTGGAGGAGCGTCTCTCAGCACTGGGCAATGTCACTACCTGCAATGACTATGTCGCTCTTGTTCACCCAGATCTTGACAGGGTAAATGGCTCTATAATGCTTTTAAATTCATAGCAGGTACATGTGAAATGATTGCCACGTTGCAGTTTGGGTTTGGACCTGTTTAGGATTGCTGTGTGTAGCATGGGGACCAGAACCGTGCTCACAGCTGAGCTGCTGTCATGGAGTGAGCTGCATTGTGTTTCCTTTCTTCTCAACAGAGAAATCTTAGTTGGACTTTGGACTTCTGACTTGCTTTCAGTTGCTTCTTATATTTCTTTATTGGAGCACTGTGTGCAGTTCTGGTGTCCTCAACATAAGAAGGACATGGAGCTGTTGGAGAAAATCCAGAGGAGGCCACAAGAATAATCAGGGGCTGGAGCACCTCCCATATGAAGACAGGCTGAGAACATTGGGAGTGTTCAGCCTGGAAAAGAGAAGCTGCTTGGAGACCTCAGAGCAGCTTCCGGTGTCTGAAGGGGCTACAAGAATGCTGGGGAGGGACTCTTCATCGTGGACTGTATTGATAGGACAGGGGGTGATGGGTTCAAACTGGAACAGGGGAAGTTAAGGTTAGATATAAGAAGTTCTTTACTGTGAGGGTGGTGAGGCACTGGCACAGGTTGCCCAAAGAAGTGATAAATGCTTCATCCCTGGCAGTGTTCCAGGTTGGAGCAACCTGGTCTAGTGTGAGGTATCCCTGCCTGTGGCAGGGGATTGTAACTGTATGAGCTTCAAGTGTTTTCCAGCCTAAACCATTCTGTAATGATTTGTGGATGTGGACCCTGCCCCAAGCATAGTGTGTGCCCTCTTGTTCTGCATGCTGCAGTGAATGCACTTTGTAGAAGGGAAGAAGCGGGATGTGGAAGCGTGTTGTCAGGTGCACTTCACTTTGTGTGTGTGAAATAGAATGGATAAAAGAGATTGTGCATGTGTGTGATGAAGAGAGCATAAAGAAGAGTTCAGTCAGGACTATAGCAGTAGTAGTTACAAGCTACTGCTGAGCTTGCTGAAATTCATAATAGTTGAAAGAGCCTGTGGATGTGGTGGTGTGCAGGTTTACAAAGGGGCGGAAGGAAAATGGAAGCTTCTTGTGTGAAAGTTTAAGGACAGAGGAGGCAAAGTTGCTGCTACTTTATGTTTGAGAACTGATGTCTTCATAGCATTAGAGAGAAGGGTATTGTGTGACTACAGGTAGTGAAGGTCCTTACAGTGCTTTCAGTTTGTGCTAAAGGAATGGGACTTGGTGTTCATATTGCAAAGTTAAAAAAAAGGAGGAAGTGGCGGGAAAGTAGTGGTCTTTGCAGTGTATTATGTTTTAACTAAGTGTAAAAAGTAAGGGAAGATAGCCAGAGAGGGATGGATCAAAATAATTCCCTGTGAAATGCTGGAGTGGAAGGAAGTTCTTACACAGAAGGATAAGAGAACTTTGTCCCAGTGGTTGGGGAGGCTGAGTAAGTGTTTTGTAATGATTGGGTTGGAAGGGGTTGTGGAAGCATCAGCAGGAGCCCAGCTGTGGTTGTGGGAATAGCTTGACTTCAAATTCTACAATACCATTTTGCTGAACTTTATCCTGTCTTTCTGTTTGCAGGAGACAGAGGAGATCTTGGCAGATGTACTGAAGGTAGAGGTTTTCAGACAAACGGTAGCAGATCAGGTGCTGGTAGGAAGTTACTGCGTTTTTAGTAACCAAGGAGGAATTGTGCACCCCAGAACTTCAATTGATGATCAGGATGAGCTGTCTTCATTGCTCCAGGTCCCACTCGTGGTAAGGCATTTTGGGTTTGTATTTTCTCTTGCCATTCCCTTCCAGCCCAGTTCTCAGTTTTAATGTTTCTACATCTCGTGGGCTCCCAGCTGCTGTTTGTCTTGCAGAGCTGTTCCAAGTGGGAGATAAGGAGAGACAACTTAAACAGAGCCAGTCTTCAGAGACATTTTCTGTACGTTTTCTGAGTCTGAATAAACTGCTTAACACCTTTAGTTTGCTTCTGAAACATTGCTCTGCTGGGATTATGTAGGTTGTGCTGATGGATTTGTACAGAATGTGTGTGGTTTGGCCAAAGGCAGTGTTTAAATAATTAAGTAATAAAACCTTTTGCCTGCTCACTTTGATTTGTGAATTCCACAATTCCTGTGCCTTTATGCTTCCTTCTTGTTAGATTTTATTTCACTGAATTTTACAGTTTCCCCTCCAGAGATAAAAAAGTTTAATGGACAAGCTTTAATCTGAAATCTTTCTAACGTTTATGGCAGAAGCTTTAGTCTTTCCAGGAGCATGAGTTGAAGACTTGTAGTGAGGATGTATAAGGGAACGTGCTGCTGTCAGCACACCCTGGTAAGTCTTATGCTTTGTTTTGCCAGGCTGGAACAGTGAATCGTGGCAGCGAGGTCATTGCAGCAGGGATGGTTGTCAACGACTGGTGTGCCTTCTGTGGGCTGGATACAACCAGCACTGAGCTCTCGGTCATTGAGAGTATCTTCAGGCTGAATGAAGCTCAGCCAAGTACCATTGCTACCAACATGAGAGATTCCTTGATTGACAGGTGAGCAAGACCCAGGTCTGTATAGCCAGGGTCAAAACAGGCAAGATTTTACTATAAAACTGGATGGTTTAATAACTGATTTATCTTCTTTTTTGCAACTTTTTTATTATTTTTATTTTGTTGTTTCACTTCCTCTTCCCTTTCATGGGGTTACTGACCACAGTTACCTTGTTGCAGAGGGGTTTGTTTCCTTGCAGCTGCTGAGCCTGCTTAGTCCTGTATGGAAAGTGTAGAGGAGTTTATTGCAGTCAGAATACTTCTTGTGTGAACAATATCCATTCCGACTTCTGGATACCGCCTGTTTTTTTCTAGCTCTTCAGTATTTGGCTATGACATTAATGGACTTTTTTTAAACAAATGTTGTTTTAAAAGTTAAAATGCCAGTGACTTTGCCTGACATCTCGGCTTTTGATTGTTGTAACCCCTAATGTTTGCTACAAATGCCTACTACAACTACTTCTGGAGCTAAAAACGCTCTGGAGATTGCCTGCTGCTGCTTTGAATCTTTTTCATTTAAGGCTGTTGCCCTAATTACTGGGGTTTTTAAGCCTTTTTGTCAAAAGCTTTACCCAAGTTACCTTTTAATGGGAGGCAGGTTTTCTTGTTTCCTTCCTGTGGTCCTGTAGGACCTTCCCTGTTCATTGATGCATGCAGATTCTTTGACAGGATTTAGGCATGTGTATAGATGAATGTGCTCTGCACGCTTCATTTGGGCTTTCCTCTGATTACAACTCTTGGAATCATTGCTGTAGTGCTGGAGTGTGTTCTGGAACTAATTGGGCCATTGTAACTTAGTGGCTGAGTTCTCACTTATTGTAAAAGTGTGTGGGAATGGTTTATGGCCTAAGGAAAGTCTAAGGAATTCCTCAAATGAAGAACCCCTTGGGAGAGCTCTTTGCTGCCCCTCTACGGTTGCTGTATAAAGGCTGGATGTCTCTGAGCGTAACAGAGCCATAATTAAACTTGCTCTGAGCTTCTGATAACTATCCAGACCAGCCTGAATGCACATCTTGCCTTTTCCAGCTTGACTAGCTTGTTCTTGGGGCTGGCTGTGAGCAACACTAGGTCTGCTTCCCACTTACATGTTCTAGGAAGGGAAATTTGTACTTGGCCTTTGTAACTGGGGAACTGACTGTATTGGTGTTTTGAAATGCCTTTTGCACTCTCTGGCACTTACCTACTAAATCTCCTTTCCGTTTTCTCTTTCTAGCTTGACATGAGCAGTGTCAGTTTCTACTTTCCAGAAAGCTCCTAAGGAGTGAAGTGTCAAGCTGCACTTTGGATTACAGACATCCAGACCTTCCGGTGTTGTTTCTGGAGGCCTGGCCCAAGGAAAAGGCTACAAACCCAATCTTTTGTAGTGTTTTGTAAACTGTCACCTGACAAATAACATGCATAAGTTATGAATAAGGAATGCTCTCTATCCCTTTGCTGGCATTTTCCAGTTCTTCAGCTGTACTTTCTGGTGTTGTGATGCTGACTGTGCCCTTCACATGAGCCCGCTATATTTACCCCTGTGGCTCTTGGATATTGATCACTAGAGATTGCTTTGCCTTTAAATAATCCCATGTCAGTGTTGTCCCACACAGCACTCTAGTTCAGCACACATGGCACTGCCCTCTCTTTCCACACTCTTGCCAAAGAGCAGTGGTTTTGCTGTATGTAGACTTAAAATCCCCTTGTATGTCCAGTGCCAAGAACACAGTAATTTATGTGCCACGAAATAGTCCAGAGTCATCCCCTGCTCTCTTGCTCTGACCTGCAGCTGTTTCCCCATGGGTAGTGATGCTGAAAAGATCAGCTCTCATTAAAACTGGACTTTCTCAGGGACAGTCCAGGGACTTCTGACAGCAGCAGTGTGTGACTGCCCCTGGAACAGTGGTGGTTCATCTGTTGTCTGGTGGTACGTGTGCTGCTGCTGAGGCACCTGCAAGAGAGCTCAGACAAGCATGATAGCCAGTGGGCTTCAGTTTGTTCTACAGGAGATAGCCACCTATGCTGGGAAACTTAGAAATCATCAAATCAAAACCACCCCATCTTGGGTTATCTCAAGAGTGTCTTGACTCTCTCAAGAGTTATCTCAAGTAGCTTGAGACAAAGGTTAAGTAACACGGTTCTAACCAGTTACACCATTCAGTCAGATGTTGCAGATTTGGGAGTTTGGTGATTGAGAACTCTGCCCTTGCAGGGGTGTGATGATGACAAAAAGGAGCTGTAAGTACTGGTTTCAAGTAGAAGATAGTCATTTGCTTCTAAACAGCTGCTGGTCACTGATCTCTTACTTCAGTTGTTTCTGCTTGGCTGTTAAAGGTGTACTGGAAGCATAGAAATCATAGAGTCATAGAATAGTTAGGGTTGGAAAGGACCTCAAGATCATCCAGTTCCAACCCCCCTGCCATGGGCAGGGACACCTCACACTAAACCATATCACCCAAGGCCTCGTCCAACCTGGTCTTGAACGCCACCAGGGATGGAGCATTCACAACCTCTGGGCAACCCCTTCCAATGCCTCAGCACCCTTGCAGTAAAGAACTTCCTCCTTATATCCAATCTAAACTTCCCCTGTTTAAGTTTGAACCCGTTACCCCTTGTCCTGTCACTACAGTCCCTAATGAAGAGTCTCTCCCCAGCATCCCATTTCCCATCATGAGGATATGGTTACTGTCAGGTGGGTTCTCTTGAGTGCAGGTCTGAAGGCAGCGTGGGCAGTTTTTTGTTTGGTGCTTCAGGCTTTGTAGAAGATACTGACTAAACTTTCATTTTTGTTTATTTTGTTCGTTTTGCCTGGATGTTTAGGGAAGGGTTTTTAAGTCTTGATTAAAGGTTGCTCCTTAAATAAAGATTGCTACAGGATCTTCTCTGGTCATAGCAGTCCTGTCTTGGATGGTAATTGAGCCAGGGATGCCATTTCCAGAGATCTCCCCTTCCTTCTGCCACTGGGGAAGCCTGTAAGCAGCTCATAGCTTCTTGCTTCTTACAGTCAGCAATTGGTGTTTATGCCAGCTTTGATACAGTGAACGTGGCACTGGCTCCAGGTCTTCTCTTAGCATGTCTCAGTATTTAGAGTGGTTTCTGTAAGCTAAAACTCTCAAAGAAGCTGGTGCAAAGAAATGAGATTTTCATTCCCATGGGAGCCTGCCTTGCAGTGTTAGAGCTGGCAGGTGCAGGATGAGACCATGAGGACAACTGTGAAACAGTAAGGGAGGAATGAGAGCTCAAGAACAGCAGTTACAAAAGGCAGACCCTTGGCATGACACAACCTGAGGCACTTGGAGCGCTGTGCAGTGTATGTGCTTGTATGTGCTTTATCTCAGAGTCCGCACTCTCCAGTGGAGATGCCAAAGGTGGTGTTAAGGAATGGTTAATAAAACCAAGGTGTTTGTCTGCAGTGCTGGGAGTTGCTACCATGGGGTCTCAGGGTTCTTAAAAAGGAGATTGCTGAGCTAAGAGCCTGTGGTTTATATGCAACAGGTATCTACCAACTTTGCTGTCAGGCTGTGGCAGCCAACATTTGATCTCGGGTGTTACAGAGGGTTGCTGGAATTGGCTGAGGAACTACAGCTGTGCTGGACAGGAAAGTCTGGTACTATGAGAAAGACTGGAATCAAGCCCTGGGATGAGTGTGACAGGATGGAGAAGAGTTGTGCAGAGGTTTTGAGGGAGGAGTGAACGTATCAATCACAGCTCAAGATTCAGCGCGGAAGGCACAGGGTGTGTAGCTTTGGCTGCCATAGTGTGTTTAAAAGTGTTTGTCAGGATCCTTCACTCAAGCTTTTGTGAACCTGAGTCCTCATGGTGTGAGATGGGAGATAGATCTCCTTGAGGTTTAATGACTAATTATAAATTAGGAACAACTAATTCCTCTCACAGTGGAGAACCATCTCTGTTCTGACTGTAGTGATTGCATTTCCCAGTGTGTTCTAACTTACCTGGAAAATGAGCCTATTTTACTGGTGATGCAATTATTTAAAGTAGTCAAAAATGGACATAGAGGAGTAGAATGTTGAGTGCAGGGTAGTGCATGTCGAGGGCTGCTCGTTGTAGGGGCTGCCACTGCTGCACTCATAGTAAATGTGTGCCAGGACTCCCTTGTGGCTGCACAAGTGGCCTGTGCTGCAGGGTGCTGTGTCCCTGCCAGGAGCACAGTGACAAGAGCCTCTTGCTGCCAGGTTAGAGTTGACAAAGCAGTGCTGTGCCCTGCTCCCCTGCGGTGGCAATATGTCCTGGAGCTGTGCTTCTGCACAGAACTGGAACATGGGCACCCGTCCATGGAGGCGCTAGTGGGAAGCAGACCCAGTCGATCCTCTGCCAATAGTTGCTGTGTGTCTGTAGCATAAACCAGGATCCTAGCAAAGAGCTCAGGGGTGGGAATATTTAGGCACTATTCCTTACATCAATATTGATGTTTGGGCCTGGAGCCAAGTCATCCCTGGACTGCCAAGGGGCTGATCTTGACAAAAGTGAGACGATAGCAGTGTGAGGTGGGTCAATTGCTCACCTGCCTGCCCCAGCCTCCCAGCACTTGTAACCGTACAGGGCTGTTCCTCAGCCCCTTAAACACTTACACAAACACTGTGGCTTTACAGGAGGAGCCCGGCATGAACCAGCTAGAAAAGGCACCAAGCTGCTTATCCAGTTCTTTGGAGCAGCAGTTCCTCGGGGCAGGCTGGGTTTGGCAGTGCAGGGCAGGCAGCTTGCCTTGCTGCAGCGGGCAGCCTGGCTCTGCAGAACACCACAGAGCTCACAGGAAACAGCTCCACTTGCTGCAGCCCTGGGTGTTGTGCTGTGGGTACCACTTGTAACTGAGCAAAAATCTACCCCTGGGCAGGAGGAAAGCCCGAAACAAACCAAACCAGACATTCCTCTAGGTTGTAATAACGTTTGTTTTTTAATGATGGCTGTTGGAAGTTGCTCAAAGGTTTGGGCTGTCACAGTCCCAGAAGAGATGGCAGCGTACAGATGAGTTGGATGTGCCATGTGGCTGTGGCATTCAGTGTGCATTCTACCACATACATAGTACACATAGCAACGACGGAGTAGCACGTGTGGGGGGTGTCTAATTAGTAGCTCCGATTTCATTTGGTCCTTTGCACTCCTTCACCCATCATGAGACATTGTCACTTTTTTCACTAAAATTCAAAGTTTTGCATCTATAGCTCCTCACTTAGTTTGTAATACGTTTGTAATTCTAGTTTTTAATGTATAAACACAATAAACAGCTTGGCTATGGAAATCAAGTTATGAAGGACAAAATACAGTTTGAAACCACGTTATGCAGTCCTAATGGGCTTCACTAGAAGTCTCTTGTCTATCCTGCTTCACCATAGCAATAGTTGAGCACTAAGTGGAAATTCAGAATGCTAATGATTTTTCTGCTTCTTCATTCCTCGTCATTGGAATTAGGAACATTTTGAGCATGTCTGTCATGCCTGGGGTGTTTTTCACAGCTGCCATTCTAAAGCTGCACCTTTGCTACACTAACTGTGCATTGCACTGCTTGCACTCAATTCAATTGTAGGCAGAGGGCTCATGCTAATCACCTTCCAGAGAGCGTGAAAAGCAGTTCCTGTGCTTAAAGGAATGGCACTTCCATGCAGGTCTGAACTTCCCCAGTACACTGCACTTCAAGAAACTTTTCCTCCCCTCTTTAACATGGTGGAAGTACCAATATCAACAACAAAATGACCAAATTTGTGGCTAGGACACAACATCCTAAACCAGTCACAACTGTAAGAGGGATAAGCAGAAGCTACAGTTGTAGACGAGACTTGTGAGGACTTGCTAGCCGAAAGTTCAGGTATTTATCTAGCTTTTACCTGGGTTTTATGTCTCTGCCAAATGTGGCTAGTGCTGACCTTGTTCTGCTGCAGGGCACGCTGCCTTTGGGCCTTGCCATACACTTGCCTGTGAAGAAGTGAGCAAAAACCAGAAGTTTTGAAGGTATACGTTTGTGACATCTACAGGGATTGGATTTAGTTTTACAAACAGGCCTAATTCTCACTGTATTTTGACTAGCTCAGCAAAACATCATGATCCCACTCCAAACAAACATTTCCATTCTCCTGAAACCCAACATACAAATTCCACAATCTAGTTACACATGCCACGTAACAACAATTCATCTTTTCCCAGCATTGTAACGGGGCAGAGTGCAGGGTACATCTATACATGTTTGTCAGTGTATCTGCAACCATTGGTTCATTGTTTCTTGCTCATGGGAGCTTAAAAGAACATCATGTGACATTTAAATATTATTTCTTTCATGAATGGCTCCCAACACAAAATCATGAATTCCCATGATTTAGACCCAATTACTTTGTCTTCAGATTGTCCCAGTTTAGGGCTTGATGTTGCCAGGTGGCTGGTTTGGTGCTTCTTGAGCTTCTGCTCCGCACTCCTTTACCTCTTCA